TATGCAAGGACCTGTGGCTGAAGGAAGTGAGTGTAGAACATCTCCCGATTGCAGTTCATGTGAGGGTGGGACTTCCCCTGAATGTGATTCACAGAATGAGGAGGGAGGTAGTCCGGATATTGAGACGCTGGAGGAAATGGAGGCTGTGGCAATTGATGTCCTCAGCTCATTTTTTAATAGTATATAATAAGCAATGAAGAAATCGGATAAGGGTGGGGAGAGGGATAGCCAGTGAAGAAAGACACGAGCCCAGAGGACGGGATACTGCAAACCTCCGCTCTGAACGTCAGAGTAGTTGGACTGATAGAAATTAATCAATCAACAGCATGGCATTCATCATTGATTTACAAGGATTCCAAAAACGAGGAGAATTTATCATAAAAGAATTGAGTGCAGTGGCAGTGCAACAGTCGCCAGATATTGAAGAATCTCCCCCCATCAACATCCTCTTTCAACCACCATGTGCCTGAAGTGATTTGGAGATGCAGAATATTATAACCAACAGGTGGCCAATTCGTAATCATCATGGAATACAATGGAGTGTTGGTGGTTGTGATTATAAGAACATTGACAAAGTTTTTCACAGTTTTCTACTGAATAGTCGAAAAATTTATGTGAAAGGCTTAGAGAAACAGCACTATGTGGAACAACTGCTTGGCGATTCCTACCAGGTTGTAAATTTAGAAGATTACAGTTGTCTAAAGATCGACAATTGTTTCTTCAAAGAAACTGCCCATCTGCACACTCATCGACACATTAAGAGAGCGCAGGAGTTAGTTTGCTGCGCTTCGGTGAATGTGCACCGCTTGAAACATTGGTTCCAGCGCACTCATCAAAAATTGGACAATAGTGAAAAAGATTTTAATGAACTTTTTGATTGAAAAAATCAGACATTTTTACTTCAATTAGTATCCCAGAATCGTTCTTTTGTTTTGACTCGCAAAAATGTAAAAATATATTTACACATTCTAAAAACTATTTTCATGTTCATTTTTACAAACCTTCCATTTCCATTCAATATAGAAAAAATTCTTTTGTTCCAATTATTATTATTATACTTCTTATGTTGTATCATATCATTTTTTTCGATCCATGGAATAGGCATTCACTCCACTTCGAAACCACGCATCCAAGCGCCTGAGTGTTTTGTTTATACGGCGCGTACGTGCTCATCGGTAAATATACAAACACACACAGAAAGCATTCGAAAATCACTGAGTCGTAGGAAATTTTATTTAAAAAATTAAATTGATTCGTGTCTGTTTTCTTATCATTAATTGTTATCCAATTAAATGAAGTAATTGATGTTCAAAAGTGCACAATTAATTTCTGTTTTGTTCAATGTCGTGAGCATTCAATGTAAAAACACAAAAAAAAAGAAAGATCATTGCAAATGATTAAACTTGTGTTATGTTGCATGTTATCATCTTTTGAAGACTATGGTGGAATATTCATTCCACTTCGAAAACGATTCACTGCGCATCCAAGAGGCCGAGAGTTTTGTTTATATGGCGCGTACGTGCTCACCGGTAAACACACGCGGCCACGTGAGCGGTGGACCAGTTCGCGCTTCAATCTCAATGAGAGAGAGAGAGAGACAGAGAAGTATCGAGTTTAAAATCATTCCTCAGATTTAATAAGAAAAAAAATTCATCTTTCTCATTATTAGTTTCTACTACTCATGATGATTTTGAAGATGAAATTTCAAAATCATGAATTAATTTGTTGTAATTAGGATTATTGAGGTAGCATCAAAGAAAAAAAAATGCACCGCCAACAGAACGTCTGAACGATCTGAAAATTTTAACAACTACGATTGTCAGCTATGAAATATCAGATATTAGACATCAGAAATGAGATATTAGATTGTAGACATCGCATACAAGGTATCAGATATGAGATATCATATGGCGGATATTCAACTTCAGATATCACATGGTGGGTATTCCTCCCCCCCCCCCATTCTGGCCCGAAGTGGAGCCTCGAATATTACCACGGTGAGGCCGATAAAGGAGATTCCCCCATACATTACCGACCGAGAGTAGATTCCTGCATTGCCCTCCCCCGCGACCACACCCGCCCCGCACCGCCCCTCAGATCCCTATGTCCAGAACCGGTATAGCTTATCTACTGATGTCGTTGACTATTCCTGTATCCTTCCGCGTTCCAGCATGTTTGCACACCACCATGATCTTGTACAGACTGAAGTGTAAGTCTATAAATGCCGTGTATTTATGGAGCTTGCTAGCAGTTGTCAAGATGGAGTAGCAAAGTTCGAAGCTACCAGTGATGAATTTCGACAAAATTACCGAGAAAAGGAAGGATAAACAAAAAAATCTTCACGACCCACTACTACCCAATACTGTACGTGCAATTATCTGTGGACCGTCACATTGTGGCAAGACGAATGCTCTATTCGCTCTCATTAACCACCCCCAATGGACTGCGATTTCAACATGTCGACGTTTACTCGAAGTCTTTAAATCAGCCGAAATATCAGTTTTTGAAAAAATTATTAGCAACAGTGAATGCTATTGGCCACTTTCCATTCAATGATCACGAAGAGGTGGTCAGACCTGAGGAAACTCATCCAAATTCTCTCATGATTTGACGATCTCGCGTGTGAAAAACAGGATAATATGCGTGCATTCTTTTGCATGGGTCGCCATCAAAGTGTAGACTGCTTCTATCTTTGTCAGACCGATGCATGTTTTCCAAAACACTTGATATGTGATAATACAAATTTACTCATTCTCTTTCGTCAGGATGAAATGAATTTGTCGCACATTTATCGGGATCATGTTAATACAGACATGCCATACCCAGAGTTCAAAGATTTGTGTTCTGCTTGTTGGAATAATGATAAACATGGGTTCATCACCGTCAACAAAGACTGCTAATTACATGAGGGACGCTATCGACGAGGATTTGATTGTTTTGTATGTATAAAAACAAGCTGATGATTGACACTCGAGACGGTGTTGAATTGAACGTAAAATCTTCAACATGCGGCCTACGGTTTTGCAAGAGGAGTCCGACGTATTGCATCATATTGCTGAGGCAAGCAGGCAATTCGTCAAAAGTATCAAACCATCAAAATGGACAAAGATATGGCGGAAAGCGCTATGAATGTGG